AATAGTGAAGCATTTTTAAAGTTCCACAAATATTTATTGTAGGAAAGAAACTTGACTTTAACTGTTGAGGTCACTGCACTCAGATGGGAGAGATAGACATGTAGACTATAATCTTATGTGAATCATAACATTGCCCAAATGATAAGGTTGAAATGAGGATGTTATAGGATTTGCTCTATCTGTAAAACATTCTGAATTAATTATTTGAAAGTTCTGTGTAAGAATTTTGAAAAGACTAAAATAGAAATACAAAATGGTATAAAAATATTGGCAAAAGATGATGATTCAGGTCTTGAAGAGAGTATGGCATTCTTGGGTAGTATTTGAGTTGGATCTCCAAGGATGAGTAGGAATTCCTGCATTACATGTAGGAGGAGAAATATGAGCAAGGACAAGGGGTGGAAACGTTCAGGACTTTTTTAGGGAACAAGATGCTTCCCTGTATGGTGGAAAGGTAGAGTATGGCACACAGTCAACCCAAGAGAAAGCTAGAGAAGGAAGTGAAGACCAAATTGCTGAATCCCAATCTTTTGGGAATACGACACAGACCTTGCAATCTGTCATTAAGCAATTAGACTACAACCCAGTAAGTTACAAAATACCTTCATATTGCTGAAGGCTAGAATTTCAAAATTCTCTTAAAAAGAATTAGTCTGGGAATATTGCTTTCTGACCTCAAATATGGGAGACTTTTGGTCACTTTCTCTCTCAAAAGTTCAATTTTCCAATTACATTAGAGAGAAGGACTCTTTTTGGTGCTTCTCTGGTTTGAACAGCTGCTAATTCTGTTTTGAACAGGAGAGTGGGCTAAGAACTATCTACAGAAATCTAAACAGAATCATTGAGAGTAGTTGGAGGGTTTAGAGCAGTGGTTCTAAACCCTGGCTGCTCAGTGCAATCACCTGGGAAACCTTTAAAACTCCTGGAGTAGGGCCCAGGCATATGTGGTTATTAAAAAAAAAAAAAATCACTCCCAGGTGATTCTAATGGGCAGTGGTTTTTCCAGGATAGACCACAGATTTGAGGAACCATCAAACAGGAGGCCACAGACCCTTCATGGAAGGCAAGAAGCAATTTGGGAATCATGAATCCATAAGTCCACTGACTGCCACATTTGCAGATAAGCCAGGAATTTTACGGAGTTCAAGAAGTTCATTTTCTTCCATTGCTTAATCCATATTCCATTACCTTGACTGTCTTATCTGAGAAAGCACATACCCCACAAACTTAAAGGAAAGAGAGATAATTCAATGACTGTATAGCTGGACAAGCATCTCTACCCCAAACCATTACTTGTAGGGAATTGTGATTCAAGGAAGTTATAATTAGTCACCACTTAGTATCATATTGAGCAAGTCAATCAATTTGAGACAAGGATGGGTGGGGAACAAGGAGCATATTTACTATTTGATCTGCATGATAACACAGGAAGATGGGTTCCACTGTGCAATTATAATAAAGCAGGTCCATGCATAGCATCTAGTTTTTATAGCTACCTTTAATTGCTATTTATTTCTCAAGCTATTTATCCTTTCCCCTATTAAGAAATAGATCTTTTATTTTTATAGCACTTTCATGAATATTCATTTGTCCTTAACTGTCTTACAAAGCATTCCAAAATTTTTGAGACATGTCTGCTACCAAGAGATGCATGTTGGCATCTGTGCTGCTGATACATTAGGAATTTTTTTAAAGCATTGAATAATGAATTAGATTTTGTCTCCACTAGCCCTGAGTTTTCACTGAAGTCCTATCAGTGAGAGCAATAATCCATGTAACACTGATTTTTCCAGTTGATATTCATGAGAGCCTGAAATTACATTTTATCCGATAATAGAGCCAGATTCCTAGTGAGCCCACTGTCCCAGAGGCCCTCCTCCCACTCAGTAGGAAGAAGGGTTCCTCCACGATGACTTGCCCAGGGCAGGTGGTGGTGGTGAGGCTAGTGCCAACTGAGGGGTGCTGTCATGATAAAAGGGCTGTGGCCGCAAAAGCTCTGATCTTGCTGACAGGAAACAGGGCCCAGGCTTTTCTTCCTTCCTTCCTTCTTTCCCTCCACAAATATGTAACAAGTACCTACCCCTGTGCCTTTGGGACTAGAGTTAAAATGGTGAACCAAACCTAAGCGATATTTTTTAGTGCAGGAATTCTTAACTTGGTGAGGGTGGTCCATGGACCAACCCTCAACCCCCCCACAACCTGTGGATAGACTTCAGGGGTTAATGAACTTGAATGGGAAAAAATACATCTTAATTTTCACTACTCTCTAACTGAAATTTAGTATTTGATTTAATAATAAATGTAGGCAACAAAACAGCAGTATTAGAAGTACCTATGGCTCTGTCACCAATAGAAATCACAGACATGTTTATCTCACATTACAGTTTTTGCAGACATGTTAGAAAACCAGTTATGCTCATCACCACTCAGAAATTATGGTAGGTTTTGTTACTTAATGTATTAATGAAGAAGCACATGTAACTGTATCATAAATTTATATTTTAATATTTTGATGGTTTTGTTTGAATATTTGGTTTCCTTTATAATCCTATGTATTTTACTTTATACATTTTAAAACAGTATTCTGAGAAGGGTCTCATAGGCTTCACCAGATACCAAAGAGAATCTTGGCACAAAACGGTTATGAATCCTTGCCCTAGTAGGAGAGATAGACCTTAAAGAAATAATCACACCAGTATGTAACTGAAAACAGTGCTAAGAGCACTAAAAAAAAGTCCAGGTGTGTGAGATGCCTTAAAGTAGAAGATATGGCCCCCCAGTATCTAGTCTAGTGGGACCTGCCTGGATTCTGCTTCCATCTCTCCTGGGCCAGGCCCTGTTTTGGTCCTGGGGATACAGCATCTGTGTCTGCCAGTCTAGTGGAGGAAGTTAGAGCTAACCACACATAAGGAAATACGTAGCCGAGATGGTTTCATTTAGAGAGCAGAGCCCCAAAGGAAATGAGCTGGGGTAATGAGATAAAGAGTGAATGCCAAGAGGCGCTCTGGGACATCTAGAGGGACAGGGAGGGGCCATTCCTCAGAGAGGTGACATTCATGTTAGACTGGGAGGAAGAGATCTGGGGGGAGGAATTTTACAGACAGATAGGACAAAGGCCCTGAGAAAGAAACAGGTAAACGCTCAGTTCCTTGAATTAGTGGTAATTGTTTCCTGCCAGGCCCTACTTTTGGAGAAAGAGACAAATCACAAGCATCAGAAGAGGAAACTGGGGGTGGCTGAGGGTGTGAGATGGACACAAGCAGTCAGAGCAGCAAGGTGGGTATGTCTCAAGGACCCTCACATATGCCACGTCCAGACCCTCCACATGTGGAGTACCCTGAAGACACACAGGGCACCCCTTCACCTCTAAACAACCCTGAGCCTTTCCTCAATCAGCTCATCAGTCTGCCTTTCATATAAGAAGTAGCTATTATCAGAGGTCCCACCTCATTCCTGGAGAAGACCCATAGATATGTTTCACCAGATATCATGGAGCCTACACCCTTATTTTTCAGAGGCCTACAGCAATGAAATAACCTCTCTACTACAGGGACTAGGGGATGGCAGCTATTTGCCTCTAAGGTGCATCTCAGTTTTACCCTCCAAGGCCTCCTGGTGGGTACCAAAGTCCTATTCCACCCATCTTTTCCTAGCTGGATCCAGGGAAAGCTACTCATTTTGCCCCTATGCCATTGACCTTTAGGAGAATCATTCTTTCCTAATGAAAAACTCTGTCAAAGCTCCTATCTGGCAGCAGTCTCTACAACACTGCTTCTAGCTTACTAAAATCTAAAGAAATCCTACCAAGTGGCCATTAAACAGGCTCATATAAAGAATTTTTTAAAAACCAGTAATTTCAGGAGATATCACAAGGTCGTTGAACATTCAGCCTAATGCCCTATATATAAATGTTGGCTAAATTCTTGCACATATAAGGCATATGGGCATATGGAACTACTTTTATTGAAAAGTGGACCAATTGCTTATATCAGACTACCTTTCCGGATACTTCTAAACCTTCAATTGCCTTGTTTTTGTTCATAGCATCCCCCCTCCCCCACATACTTAAAATGGCTCAAGAAAATCAAGGAAGCTTTGACATCTCACAAAATGTTGCTCATCTCTTTCCTATGCAGTCTATATATACACTAAAGTCTGAGGTCAGAAGTGAGACTGGGGCTGACAGACCACAGACTTAACCCATTCCAAACTGTGCATAATTAAAGAAAAAATAAATTCCATCCTGAAAAAAGACAGGAAAGTGGATTAGTAAATGTTAGAAATATTTCCCCAAACCAAGAGTTGAGGCAAAAGGATTTTTGGCAGAAAGTTCAGTAAATATCAGAAATAAAGCTGATACTTCATTTGGCATCTTCTAGGAACAGGAGGGCATGGATTGAGGCCTCATGAGTCTAGGTTTTCAGATGAGAGAGAGAAAGAAGACAATGGTTACAACCAGAAAGTCCAGAGTGGGTGTAGTTACCTCCAGAACTCATCACTGTTAACTCAGCCCGGGCTTCATGACAGTCATAGAAGTAGATTCCTTACTTAAATAAGACAGTTTCAGGGGGGAAAAAAAGTGATATTTTAAGAGAAGCCTGGGGTAGCAGAAAGAGCCCTGGACTTGAAATCAGTTGATGTAAACTCCAGAACTAGCTTTGCAACTGATTCTTTGTGTGAACTTGAGCAGGTTTTACTCTGTACTGTTTTGTCTCTCTGTGCCTGTTTCCTCACCTGTAAAATTACTCATCTGGGTTAGAAGAGATTATTTCTAAGACCTCTTACAGCTCTAAAACTCTGCCTCTCTAATTATGATAGGTACATGTGGCACTAGGCAATAGATTACTAATAGGAACGTGATCCTAGCATGTGTCTTCAAACTTCCAATTTGGTCTACTAAGAGATGCATGATCACTGTGACAGTCATACAGGATATTTAGGCAGTGGTGAATTTTTCTCTTTTAATTAGAGATTTACTGATTAAAAGAATACATCTTGGGGGAGGTGTAGCTTAGTGGTATAGAGTGTGTGCTCTGCAGGCACGAGGTCCTGGGTTCAATCCCCAGTACCTCCATTTAGATAAATAAATATATCTAATTACCCTCCCCACCTCAAATAAATCTGGCATTATATTTCCTATCTTTTCCATGCCACTTGACTTTAGCCTCTCTGGGATGATTTGTACCATTTCTGATGGAATATCTCCTAAGAATGAAGTCTCCTCAAGAGAAAAGAGAGAGGAGCAACACTTCCCACTCATCCTGGGGAGGTCCATTGTTCTCCATTACCTTTTTTTAAGAATTTCCAGATCAGAGGAATTTGGGGAGTGCTCCATATGTTTTCCTCTCATGCAGATTTACAGTGAATACTAGCACAGTAAAGCGTCTGAGAAGTCCTGCAGTAACAATTCCTGCCTAGCTTTAACTCAGAGTTTCCCAAACTCATTTGCCTGCAGTGCTATTTTTCATAACACCTACAATAATCTCATGGAACCAGTGCCATATGAACACATTTTTGGAAGGTTTGAGTGCCGATCAGGGGCTGAGAAAGACCATGTTCATTGGGATACCCACCTGCAGTGAGTTTAGTGGTGGCCTCCAAAAGATGTGTCCACCTGAACCTCAGAATGTGATCTTATTTTGAAGAAGGGTTTTTGCAGGTGAATTAAGTTTAGGATTTTGAGATTAAATCATCCTGGCTTAGTGTGAGCCCTAAATCCAATGATGAACGTCCTTGTAAGAGACACAGGCAAGAAGGCCATGTGAAGACAGAGGCAGAGAATGGAGCTATGTTGCCTACAGCCAAGAAAGCTGGAGTCACCAGAGGCTGGAAGAGGCAAGCAAGGATCCTCCCCTGGAGTCTTGAGAGTGGCCCTGCATGGCCCTGTTGACACCTCATTTTCAGAATTCTGGCTTCCAGGATGGTTGGAGAACAAATTTCTGATGTTTTAACTCACCCCGTTTGTGGCACTTTGTTACAGCAGACCTAGGAAACTACTGGCCCACCCTTCCGTTCCTTTTTCACCACTGACTAGCTGAGTCATTTGACAGAAATTAATGCCTTTGATAGTCATTTTCTTCACCTTCAGAAAGAGGAAAGAATACCTATTCTGTACATCTCCAGGTATTTTTGAGTCTCGAAATGAAAAATGGACACAAAGGTGCCATTTAAAGAGTTCAGAGGTGTGAGGCCGACACCCTTCAGTTAGGTATCAGGCCCAGCTACTAGGGTTGGGATCTCAAGCAGAGACAGCACATTGAATCAGAGAACACTGCTGGTCAGACTCTCCACATGCTCATGTGTTCATTCATTTACTGTTCCAGGCAATGTCATAGGACACAGAAATGAACAAAACATACAAAATCCCTGCCCTTGTGGAATTCGTATAGTCAGTAAAGGAGTTAGACAGTGAACACATAAGTAACCCACTTAATGTGTCAGAGAGAGACAGAAGGTGTCTTGGGTTCTGATGCAGCCTATAGTCCTCACTGCCAGGTCACCATTAATTTAGCACACCTGATGGTTTTGGCCACAAAGATGGCATGGGATAATGTGCTTAATAATAGCAATGTGGTCGTGAAATCAGCACACCCTCCACCCCCCTGCCCCATACACACTTTCCATCTGGTGAAGATTTTGAAAATAAGTAATTTAGTGGCACTGGAGGCATTACCTTTGGTAACAAAATGAACAGGTATCAAAAGCCAAGGTGATCCAGTAATTCTACTGCTAGTAATATACCCAGGAGATATGAAAACACAGGTCCATGCAGAATTGAAAAGAGGCATTCCAACAAATTCTCATACACAATGCTCATAACAGCATTATTGACAATAGCCGAAAGGGGGAAACAACCCAAGTGTCTATCAATGGATAAATGGATAAATAAGAAGTGGTGTAGCTACACAATGCAATATTATTCAGTCATGAAAAGGAACTGAAATAATGATACATTCTACAATGTGGATGAACCTCAAAACATTAAGCTTAGTGAAAAAAGTAAAACACAAAAGGCCGTGTAACATATTATATTATTCAATTTATTTGAAATGTCCAAAATAAATCCATAGAGACATAAAGCAGATGGTGGCTGCCAGGGCCTTGGAGGAAGGGACAAACGGGGAGTGACTACTTAATTGGGATAGGGTCTTCTTTTGGGGTGAAGAAAATGTTTTGGAACTAGATAAAGGTGATGGTTGCACAACATTACGCATGTACTACATGCCATTAAATTATAAAATTTAAAATCCTTTGTTATGTGAATTTCACCAATTACACACACAAAACCAGCGTGACTCTTTTATGTTGCTGCCTGGTCTGCGGGTAGGAGGGGTAGGAACATCCCAGGGCTCTCACTACTGTTGCTCAAGTTCAAAGCCAGAGCCCTGCCAGTAGGGAAATAGGAGACATAGTCTTATTTAAAGGACACTTACTATGGGATTTGCCACGCTCACAGCTTACAGTGGGAGGGCTGGGGTAGGAGTGGACCATGAATTGTCCATGACACAAAGATGGAAGTCCTGACCAGAAATTGAGGAGCATCCTTGGAGGGTTGGAGACAGCCCCCTTGGGAAAGCCCACATCCTGAAGTACCTTTCCTTGTATGATGCAAGGGAAAGTTCACATTAGCCAACCCCTCTGCTTTTGTTCTTGCACCATGATTCCTTTCTGAAATTTTCCCTCCTGCTTCAGTAAAGAAATTCACATGCACATCACAAGACAGCATGTTAGGGATAGGGTGTGCATTAGCTCCCTATTGCTGCTGTAACAAATTACCACATACTTAATGACAAGCTATATACATTATTTTTTACAGTTCCATAGAAGTCTGATATGGGTCTCACTGGGCTAAAATAAAGGGTTTGGCAGGGCTGTGTACCTTCTAAAGGCTCTAGAGAGGAATCCATTTCTTGCCTTCTCCAGCTTCTAGAGGCTGCCCTCATTCTCTTGATCATGGGCTTCTCCCATTTTCCAAGCTAGCAATCGCATTGTTCCAACATCTGTTTCATCGTCATATCTCCTCTGACTCTCTGTCCCCCTCTCCCATATTTTAAGGACTTTCGTGATTACACTGGGCCCTCTTTGGTAATCCATGGTAATCTCCCCATCTATTGGTCCTTAACTGAGTCTTATCAGCAAAATTCCTTTTGCCATGTAAAGTAACATATTAACAGGCTCCAAGGATTAGGAGGGATGGACATCTTTGGGACATTATTCTGCCTACCTAGAGTAGCTGGGGAAGGAGACATCTGCTGTGCAGAACCACTGTTGACCATCAGCAGAGACACTCACAACCTGGAGGGCACAAGAGAAGAACTGAGTGAGAGAGCCCCAATTTTTTGATTGTTCCCTAAATTAGCAAAGGCTACCCTATTAGAAGAAAAGGAGGAACCCAACAATATGTGATTATAAGAATAAAAGCATGTATGAAGCATTTACTAGGTGCTAGCCTCCCACCAGAAAAGTATTGTATTTGGTATGTACCATTATTAAGCCACATTTTATAAATGTCAGAGAGATTCGTAGAAGTTACCTGATATCTCACAGCTAGTGAGTACTGCACGTGACATTTGAATCTAGTTCTATCTGATATGAGAGCTTAGCCCTCAACCTAGTGTTGTATTAGAGCAGGCTATCTGCTGAACACCCTCCTACCAGCAGCTTAAGATGAGAAGTAGATTTCTTGCCCATGTAACAGTCCAGTGTGGACACTTGGTGGGCAGCCTTCCCTGGGGTGATTCTGGAGCCTAGGCTTCTTCTGCATGTGGCCCTGCCATCTGCTAAGCCTCAGGGTTCCTTGCTTCCAGAGGCAGATAGGAAAATAGAGGACAGAGAAACCATGCTTGCTTTTTAACCACCTCCTCCCAGAGGGATGCACCTCCTCTGCTCACATTTCAATAGCAAAAGGTGGGGTCACATGGGAGGCTAATAAGTCTAGACCATGGCTGGACAACCACTTCCCAGAAACAACTCTATGCTTTGAATAGGAAGCATAAATGTAGTAGATAGCTGAGCATCTCTGCCATGACAGTACTGATACATGAATAAATGAGTGAGTGAATGAATGAATGAGTGAATGAAGAAATCTTGCTTTTCACACTCCTGCTAACAAAAATAAAGGATGCTATCTGAATATATAAAGGAACCCACTATGGCAGGAGGAGAACTAAGTAACCCAAAGAAGTAAAGGAGTATCCAGACTTGCTAAGGTCTCTAGGGCTATCAAAACAGCATCAAAACATTCCATCTTCTCTTGAGGACACTGCAGAGACATCTAGTTGTATGTGTGTATGTATATGTAGAATAGAACCCCCAGTATTTCACTAGACACTTGGGTGCCCATATTGAAGACTACATTCCAACCAGCTTGAACACTAGTTTTGGCCAGTGTGTTCTGGACAATGGGATGTGAACAGAACTGCAACAGGAGACTTCTGAGGAAGGAAGGTCCTTAAAGGAAGTGAGCTTCTTTCTTCCTCTTTTCCTCCTTCCTCCAGGCTGGAGGTTGAGGAGCCAGCGGCTCCCTAGGTCGGAAGAGGAACAAGCTAGGGGGAGCCTGGTTCCCTGCTGATCATGGAGTTGCCAAACCAGTCCCAGATAGCCCAACTCCAGATTTGGTTTACATGAGAGAGAGAGATGGATTTCTATCATGTTTAAGCTGCTGTTGCCTTCAGTTTCCTATCACCTGCAGACCGTCTTAATCCTAATAGACACAAGACTCTGTTTCTCTTTATGAAAGAGTATTATTATGCGAAACTCACCACTAATGACCCAACCAGCCTCCACCACAACTGTTTCTGCAAATCAAAGGATTTACCAGGAAACCTTGTTTTCATCACTGGCATTTCCACCTTCCCACCCTCAGTCACCTCAGCTGATGTCAGGGATGGCAGGGCCTGCTGGGCAAGCTTTGAAATGACTTGACAAACAGGAGGAAATGAAGGGTTTCCTCATAGGTCTAGACCACAAGTTGCCTCACTGTCAAGCCTGTTTTACTGTTGAATGACTCTCGTAGGTTTGGTTAAAAGTGCAATGGTAGAAATCCTTCCAGACAGCTGTCATCTGCCTAGAAAT